CCCCCCCCCCCATTCCTCTCCAGAGTTTGGCGCTTTTTTGGTACGCTCCAGTGAAGTTCCGTCCACTTCGACAGAAGAAATCGAGGAATGACGTCATTTTGGACCCAGTACGAAGAATTTCAGAAGTTTCAGCAATGGAATAACTCTAAATTTCACAGCGATCTGAATGAGTGAAGATCTGTATATTTCTCACTCTCTACCGGTTGAAAAATTTTCGAAGAAAAGTACAAAAAAAGAAAAAAATTCCCGATAAAATATTGTTAATATTCTTTTTTTATTATTAAGTTGAAGTGTATAAATTGTAAAAATGATTTGTAATAAAAGTTCTTCCGAGGGAGTTTAACCACTCCGAAATTATTTTGCGTTAAGATCATTTTAGTCTACACTCCTCGGGAAATTAATAGTCTTAATTGGGACGAGATGCACTTGTCCAGTTAGGCTTGAACTTACTTTGTTACAGAGACCGAATTTGGTCCTTGCAACTAAGAATCCGATGAAACTGCATCGAGGACAGTATAGGTTTGAGTCGAACTGAAAAAATGTATCGCTACTCCAAAAACTCTTTTCTGCTTTCCTTTACTTACGTCCATCGTAATTTCCTTTAACTTTTCATTTTCATTTTTACTTGTACTAAGCCGTTTCCTTCCTCCGTTTTTAAAAAAAATAGTGAAAAACACAAGAGAATATGTTAGATACCTATCAAATTTAAACGCATATTGCAAAACCTTAAAAAAAGAAATTTTGGTATTTGATTTAATGTTAATATTCTAGCATATTTTAAAGCTTCAAAATTCGCTTCACTCGCATTTTCATCTAGACTGGCAAATGGGGCTGTTCCTACACATTGCAACTGTCCGTTTTCTCTTGCAGGAATTCACCAATCAATGAGATAATCATACTTCGTCGCTAGAAAATTTGGTGATATTCAGAAATCTAGGCTCGGTCAAAAATAAATAAATGCAATAAAAGTCTGATGCTCGGCTCTTATTGACTAACTTGTTTTCTGGATGTGTCTAATTACTACGTTATGTTTCTTAGGCCGAGGTTTTCACAAGCCTGAAATTGAGTCACCTTCTATTTTACAAACCAAGTCTGGATCATTTCCTTATACATAGAAAAAAAGCCATAGGCTCCGTATCTAGTTTTTGTGCAATGAAATGCTGATATATTAGAAAAAATTTAAGTTATTAAAGGAAAATAAAGTCAATTACATAATACTGCGCGAGTTATATAAATGAAATTATGATTTTTTTTTCAATGAAACTTATCTCAATGGTTTAACTATGAAAACAAGTATTTCAAAAGGTGCAGTTACTTTTCTCTTGCATACGTATCTCTCTTTAAAAAAATAAAAAAATAGGATAAAAATAGAATAAACATAGAATATTTTTTTGAATACTACGTAAACATAATTATAATATTCTTTGATTTTTGTCCCTTTGCCAAGATTCTTCCGTAGGTACTAAATGTTTACCTTGATATTCGATGGTTTTTCCTCCAAAAAAAAAGTAAGTAAATAAACGTAATATCAACGGAGATTTTGAAACTCTGTAATGCTACATGTCTCCAGAAGCCATTGCAATATGAAAATATTCAAAAGTTTCAACACCCATACCCATCCGTTATATACAAAATACATTTTACTTAGAAATTCTAAAAATTCTATTAGTTCCACAACAGTATTCGAAACTCACCTTTGAGTTTTAGGAGCCGTGTGGCGCATCGAACCCAATTTTCAGACGCAATTGCAGATTTTTTAGGGACCAAATTGACTTTTTGCCTAAATATTACGGCGCACTTAGTGAAAAGTTAGACGCAAGATATTTTAGTAACAGAACTAGTAAGCAGCTGTAACTTGGGGAAGACAAAAGCACAAATGATGAAATCGTGAAGAATAGAAAAAGCTTTCACTTGTGGTGCTGAAAATTTCGAATAAGCACCTAATATAAAAATGCAGATTTCTAGGGGGCAATTTTTAGGGGCCACGTTGGCGCAGAGTCTTCATTTTTTAGGCGCATTTGGCGCGTTGGCGCCTGTGAATTTCGAAGACTGTTCCACAACCAAACCCAAACCTCATTCACGCTCCGAGCAAAGCGGCAACCCAGTATTGAGGACAAGGCACGTTAAAAGAACCCAGAAAAGGCGCCCGGTTGCCCCGATAAAACGAAAATTCCGCCACACAACAAGACAGCATCGAGTGGTTGCGGGTGGTATCCTGCGCCCGCTGCGACAACTCCGCGAGGTGGAAGATTTTCACGCTGAGCGAGAAGGGAGCAGGGAGCAGGGCGCATGAGCGCTCTATTCGCAACGCGTGGAGCGAGAGAGCACTGATTAACGCAAGGAGGAATGTTCCAGGAGGTTGCGCACCGTGATGCTGCGATCGGGATGATGCTCACCCCCCGAGCAACTGGTGTTTTCCGGGTTCGTGAGCACTTTCGACGTGGCGTCCTGGTGCCCGTTGCTCACCACAGAGGGCGCCGTCACCCTCCGGCCGAAGTATCACAACCGCCATGCGACGTTTCATAGAGAAAAAAAAGGAGGTGTTTGCATCTTGAGGTTTGTTTACCCTATGACGTAGGTCGGTACAACCTGGCCGGCGAAATCCGGAATTCGAAGTATAAAAAAACGGACCATAAAGTCCCATTTTTTTGCTTAAATCAACTCATGATATAATTTCAAGCACTTTTTATTGAATGACTTTTTTCCATAAATTACACCATTTCCAAGAAAATCGACGATAAACGTCGCTGTACCGACCTACATCATCAAAAAAATTCCAAGATGCCCGAAATGCAAACACCTCCTTTTATTTCTCTATGGCAACGTTTCACAATTTCCGAATAAACAGTATCTGTATTGCGGTGTTTTAAAATTTCTGCTCCTGCCTTAATTTTTCAAAGAGAAGCAAGTCAACTTTATGCCATGGAATGAATACACCATATTTTGCTGATGGGTAAGAAAAATTTAACAAGTTTTCAAGGAATTAACTGGTTTTCCACAGAAAAACTGAAGAATGACAGGAAGTCTGCAACGTTGCAAACGGAGATACGTGGTTTCGCACTTCCGCCATCGAGATGACATATTTTAGAAACCCCGTTCTGCTATCTTCCCTTTCAGAGACAATGTCGTCACCTTCCGGCCAAAGTATCACAAGCGTCATGGGACTTTCCACAATTTCCGACGCCTGTTTATTTTTTTACAGAGAAATTGTTCAACGAAGCTGCCCGGAAATGTCTTTGAATTTGCTTTACGCTGCCGATGAAATTCAGTGAAATTTTCAAACAGATTCAACCGACAAATTCTCTGTAAAAAAATAAAATGGCGGCGGGAATTTTGAAACGTCGCATGGCGCTTGTGATACTTTGGCCGGAAGATGACTTCATTATGCATGCGTCAGAGATCATACTGAAAATTTTTTCTCCTAAGATATTATTTTGACTTAAAGCATCGTTTCTTGTCGACAATTTTTTTTTTTTTTTTTAATTTTATTTTTTTAGGTAAATCCGTGCGGATTTAAGTTGTCAGTCTTTCTCAGTTGAAGAAACATTGTTATGCTATGGTTTTTTAAAACTTAAACTTAAATATATCAGAGCTACCCTAGTGAAAGTGAGTCAGCCTGACGTCAGGCTGTTTCATAAACTACCCTGAGTCTATGACTGATGTCAGCCTGGATCAGTCATAGACTGAGGGTAGTTAATGAAACATGGCCAGGTGTCAGGTTGACTCACTTTTACTAGGGTACGCTTTTTTAACTAAAAAAAAACTGACTTCAAGTCGAATTCACACGGATTTAACTAAAAAAAAACCACGGCCTCAAAGCCGCAAACCTCAAAAGCTGTTAAGATTGGGGTAATGCAATGGAACCCTTGTCGACTACCCGACGCTACGAACCGTGACGCTGGCTCAAACCCCCCTCCCCCTGAGTGCGTTACGTAATGCCCTTCGCACACGTTACAAGTGTTTTACTGAAAGTGGGGGTCCAGTGCATCACTCATCTATGATCGTGAAATTTGCGGCGCCCGCGCCCACTTTCAGCCCGACCAAAATTGGATCATATTTAGCAAAAAGGAACCAGCGCAATTACAGTGTTGTTAAAATGTTGCTTCTTCATAATTATCTAAAAAGTTTCCCAAAAAAAAAAAACAAATAGTTTGGGCCTCCCACTGAAAAAAATTTAATTTTAGAGGAAAATATAATGGTGTAAATGTTAATATTGTGCATACATTAACTATTCTTAAAAGAAAATGAGAAGTTGCACAATTTTGAAAACTCTGTAATCGCGCTGGTTCCTTTTTGCAAAATGCGATCCAATTGGACGTATTTATGTGGAGGTGAGAAATATGGGGTGTGCTCGTTGAAGCTGCATAAGAAGCAATGTAAAAGTGGGCGTGATTCCTTTTGAAGAATTGGAAAAGCGGGATTTTACATTCTATCAAAGAGACCTATGTGCCAACTGAATGCGGAACTCATGAGCCGCGGGCATGGCAAGAGAGCGTTGTGCACAGGGCTCATGAGTTAAAGACTCCCTCCAACGATCTTCCCCTCGCTCGAGTGCGCACTATCATTGCCGCTGACGTCACTGGCGCTTTATTATTCCCATTCACTCTTACGGCCAGAGAACTAACAAGCACACCCCACATTTCTCACCTCCACATAGGTCTGTTTGGTAGAAATACGTCCAATTATCTAAAAAGTTTCCAAAAAAAACAAATAGTTTGGGCCCCCACTGAAAAAAATTTAATTTTAAAGGAAAATATAGTGGTGTAAATGTTTATTGGGCATACATTAACTATTCTTAAAAGAAAATGAGAAGTTGCACAAGTTTGAAAACTCTGTAATCGCGCTGGTTCCTTCTTGCAAAATGCGATCCAATTGAGATGTCGTAACTCTGGGTATAAAGGGACTCAAGCAATGGAACCCTTGTCGACTACCCGCAGCACGAGCGCCCTCTAGCGGGTGGCTCGGCGCGCCCCTGCCGTGGCAGCGCAGCACCCTTACGCCTCCTCCATGCGCGTATCGACCCGGGACCGGGGCTCGTCCGGAGACTCGGCAGTCTCCGCTGGAACCTTGGCCGCGTCGCGACGCTCCGTTCCGGCGACCCGCGACCCGCGACACGGCGCCCGAACCGCGCGACGCCCGCACCGGCGGCGCCGGCCATTTCCGCCTCGAGTCATGCACCTGAGCCCTGTCCGGGGGCCCGCATCCCCGTCCTGGCTGCCCGCGGTGCGATGGACGCCCCTTCGCCGCCCGCGCCCGCCACGCCCTCGCTCCCCGTCGACGCCCGCATCCTGAGGTCCCCCTCCCGGGAGTCCGTCACCACCGAGCTCTCCATGCTCTCCGTGTCCTCCGCCGAGCCCGCCAGGATCCGCCTCCTCGGCTTCCACACCGCCAGGAGTGTCAGCCCCAACCCGGACTCCGATAGACCAGTTATCAACAGGTAGGAGCGCCCTCCACGCACTCACCCCCCCCCCCTTTAACCACTAGAACCGTTCCAGTGTTGCCAGTCGTTCACTGGAAAAAAGAACACATTGGATCTAGAGTCCAGACTCTTGAAAATATTGACAAGAAAAAGGACTCTAGATTCAATCAGATTTGGACGGCGTTAAACAGAAAGGAACCAAGCCA